GCTTCTTTAAAGGAACATTCCTTGCCAGACTATTTCTCTCCTGATATGGTAGCTACAATCATATATATACTTTACATATTTAGCAAAACACGGGAAATTTTTTTCATATGGTCAATATTGATTATTTAAAAATGTAGTACTCATTCCCAGTAAGCTGCCATCTTTTCAGATTTCTTTCAGGAAGTGATGTCATCGACTCTCACCTGTTATAACCTTGTCTATTACAGGATAGGAAAGTACAAAATCACTTCTAAACAAGAAGCCCTTATCTTCTGTGTAAAAATATTTTCAGGAGTTGTCAACTTAGAACGAAAGAAGAGATCATCAAAAGGATTTTAATCATAGACCAAATTGAAAAAAATATTCAGCTGGTTTAGTAATTCTAATAGCTCCTTACCTAATGTTATATGCAAAGTTGAGAGTCGATGACATCACTTCCTAAATGAAATTTTAAAAGATTGCAGCCTACTGGAATTGAGCACTACATTTTTAAGTGATCAATATTGACCATTTCAAAACATTTTTCTGTTTTTTGATAAACCTGCAAAGTATGTATATGGTTATAGCTACCATATTAGGAGAGAGATGGTCTGGCAAGGAATACCCCTTCAATATCTACATTTCTAGCTTTATTAATGTCCTATATAATTCTTTTACATTTAAAACATATTGCTATTACAGTTTAACATATTGCTATTACAGTTTTATATATTGCACCTAAATTACTGTAAAATCAGCACTAAAAGGGTCACCATTTTTAATTGAGCGGCCATTTTTGAATGAGCGGCCATTTTAAAATGAGCGGCCATTTTGAAAATCGGCTTTCTAGCAGAGAGAGTGAGAGTGAGTTTTTACAGTGAGAGATAAGAGATTAACAACACACAGGCACTGGAAAGTGGTGTAATTAATCACTAATCTTCAGCAGATGCAGATAAGATTTGACAAGCGATTGTCTTACTGGTATGTGCTGTGTGAAACTAAAACATATAATGTCAATGAACTTGTATGACTGCACAGGTCCTTGGACAATTGTTGAGGTGGTATCCGATCTTTTAGTCCGTATTGAATGTGAAAATGGGAGAAAACCGGTAGTTCACCAAGATCACTTGAAGCCCTACATTGGAGATATCCCTGAATAGTTTGACCCATCTCCAAGTCTGGTTAATGAGTCCAATCCAGACCTAGCCCTGGACCTTTCTGAGTTTGATCCTGTCCCAATTGAAAAGTCCACTGAAACTAAAAAATGTGCCCTCCAAATATACACCTGTGGCCACATGTCCTCATATCCCCCCACCATTTCACTTGATTTTCTTGGTCTTGATGTTAAAATTAAATTTATATATTTGGATATTATTGGAATATCTATTATAATGTATGTAATTTATAAGACTAAACCATAATATCTTGTGAAAAAAATTGTAGACATGATTGATGTTTTCCAGGTGGTTAATGTCTTGATGTGTCAAGGAAAGGTGGGTGACAGTGTGTGGCGCATCGTTTACTAGTGCAGAGGACTTGTTGATGCACTCATTAGTGTTCCATCCAACTAGTGCAATATTCTACCCTTGTGATCAGTGTTCCAAGTCCTATATGACTCAGTTGAAACTTGGAAAACACAAAAGAGATATACATGGGCCCAAGTACCAATGTCCAGAAGACTAGATCTACACTCCCCATTATAAACTTATTAAACTGTCAAACAGTATTAAACTCAAAACATCTCCCTCTCGCCCATCATTGGTCTTCATTCGATATATGCTCCCCAATTTTCTAAATACCCCCAAGTGCAAGTCTTTAACAAACGTTTTCTTGAATTCTAGAAATCTGTGCATGCCACATCTAAAATATGGCATTACCTGTGAAGCAGTCAAAGAGGGGTTGGTCTTAACCCAACACTTCTGGACAAAGAGTATGAAAAAAGGGGAAGAGTAGATGACATGCTTGTGGAAAGGTACCACTCCTCCTCTGACCTTTCTACTGAGAAGCGAATCATGGAAAATTTCATGAAGAAGGGATCAACAGTGAGATGTTTAGTTACTACCATAGCATTTGGAATGGGGATTGAAATACCAGAAAATAGCAAAGTAATGCAAGTTGGAGTTAAGGAAACTGGATGATGTGCATGTCGTGCTGATTGGAAAGGCGAGGTCTTCCTATTTGATGTTACTATCAATGTTATGACTATAAAATTTTACAAAGGATGATGAAAGATCAAGCTAAACGTATTATTTATTATTTTGACTGTCAAAAATTGAAAAACTAGAATCTGATTTGAATGATATGAAGGGTGGACTTAGTAAGATGAAGGTCTGCAATGAGCAATGCTTTTATGATCAACCATCTTTCCCAGTACAGCAGAAAATCTACTGTCTGGATTATTGGTTTACCTGAGCATACTGCTGAAGCTGGCGTGCAGCTTAACGCTCAATCCTCAGTCACAAAATTTGCAACTGAGAAACATCAACTGGACATAAAAGACTAAAGGGTAAGCAAGGAAAGTCCCAGGAAAGGCTCCTTCAAGACAGTGCATAACAGAGATGTTTCTGTCATACATTGACAAAATATACCCACAAATAGAATAGAACAGAGGAACCAACAAATCAAAGCGACAATGATAAGTGCAGATCACTTTTAAAGTGGCTGCAAATGTGGGTTATGTAAACTGTGAAGGGAAATGGGTAGAACAATTTAATCCTTTATTCAGTATTCTCAATGAGAAGGGCAGTGTCTTGAAATGGCTTTTTGTACCCAACGAAAAAGTAGAGAAGGTAGAACATTCATTAAGAAACCTTAGTTCATCGCATACCAATATTACTTCATTGTTCCTCGATAATTGTGGTTCATGGCGCCAGAAAATTAAGTCATTGTGGAATGACATCGAAGTTAAACTTGATTTATTCAATGCTGTGTAAAGGTCAATCAAGTGCATACCAAAAGGCAATAAGTTTAGGACTGATATTTGTAGGGATTTTCGTTAAACACAGGAGCATGCCGACTCCCTGAAGGGAAATGATGTTAAAAAATTTAGAAAGATTTTTAAACATCTATTCAAATATTGAAAATTTTTAAAATGAAAAATTTATGAAATCAATAGATCGATTAAAAATTCATATAAATAAGGATTGTCTTTCTAGTATGCCCGTGAGTGGTACATCCAAAAATGAACGTCTCCAAAGGCAATTAAAAACAATTCTTAGTAAAAACAAAATGGGGTATCGTTTGGCGTCAGCTTTAACTTCAATTACTATTGATAATGTTAATTTCCACAGACATAATCACATCAAAGACTACTGGAACCAACTCATTGCTAATGCACGTAGTGCTAAAAATGCTTATCACATGGAGGAAAAAACATTTGAATTCTTTCCGAGTGTAAAATACACGGAAAATTCAGACCCATCTTGCGTTTGCAAACAACAAAAAGGTCAGCATGTCTACAATTGACATGACAAAACTCAAACAAAGACAAGTTATCAAAGATCAAGAATTAAATCACACAAACAGTTTCAAATCAAAAAACAATAACACTGGTAGAAAATTACAAGAAGCATTACTACATTTAAACTCATCCAAACATTTCACATCAGACAGGACACAGAATTTGATTGACACTCGCAACATACCATTCATTGTCAATATCGGTCATGATTTAACCACGCCAAAATCAGTTTATCCCAGTTTAAGTAACGAAAGTATGTTGCGAAGCAGTATTTCGTTGTTTTGTTGTCCAAGGAGATTGGAATTGTTTCTTCCATGCAATTGCAACCCAACTTATTTAACTTTTACAGGAAAGCTCTTTATCATTGCATGTGTAGCGACCCGGGTTGGCTTTCGATACTTTTGGACTTCCGGTTAGTTTGAACTTCCGGTTAGTTTGAACTTCCGGTTAGTTTGAACTTCCTGTTGGAGACCTTACACGAAATTTTTGACGCCAACTTTCCCCCGGTTCGCTACTTCCCTTCGCTCTGGAAATTAAAGGTTCCCTGTAAATCAGGTTTTCAAAATCCATTTAATACTGGGGAAACATACTTATAGCCACTTTCTTGCAGGGTAATCATTTTATGTATTAGAATCACAGCCATTTTCTTCCCGAGCGAGATGTTTTGATTTCCGAATATCGCACATTCTATATTATAACGACAAAGGACAACTTGATTGGGACTAAACAACTAGGAGCGAAAGAAGCAGGTGACAATGAGTGAAAACAGGTGGCTCTGGGTATGTTTCCCCCATTAGTGGCGCTAAGAATTTGCCAGATTGAGTTTTGTCTGTTTTTGCCCGAAACGGCGTGTTTTTGACCAAGGTCGCCATCTTGGATTAAGAGTGGGCGCCTTGGATTTTCATTCATTTTTCACCTTGACAGATATCTTTCATTTATTTGTGTACACTAAGAGAGGATATTTACAAATAATTAAACAATCATTCTAGAACCTACTTGCTTGTCGTGTTATAGTTTGTGGTAATTGAGCTGAATAAGATTTGAAAATCCCAGTATAACTCCCCTTTGATAAAAACCATTTCAATCATCTTCACATTTTGCTGGATTCACTGTGTTCATATAGCCATTTGTTCAATTAGTAACTTTAGCTTTTAATCCCATTTATAGAGGGCAGGACTGCATGGTCAGCTTTTAACATTACAATTTTGGGTTTCACTTTTTTTTATATTCTCATCTAAAGGGGGCAGCACCTGACTGAATCACTTAGAACAACAGAGCTCCATTCATCCCATTTTCGAACTTACGCCAACCGTTCTTTTCACGCTACCACAAACGTAATTTGTACAGGGGTAACTTTGTGAATATTTCTTGTGTATCATTCCCCTGTACGTAGCAGTGTAGGGAGACTGTCCTGAGCTGTTACACATGTAATTAACCATTTACATCACCTAGGTATACACAGCAGGGGAACCAAAAGGAACTTGCTAAACTGTTGCGTATTTCAATTGTACAATATTGGAAGGAAAATAAAGATAGGTATTTGTTCTTGTTCAATGGGGATGAAGATGCTTATTTGACAGCCTTGCAAAATTTTGAAGCTGAAGAATTTTATGAGAACATTTTGGGTGATTCATTACCACTTGCCATGGCAAACGTTTTGCACATTCCAGTTTTTATTTTAACAGATCTAGCCAACAACCCTTTAATTATTGTGACACCAGAAAATGAGAGTGACATGGAGCAAAACACTGTCATTCGTTTATCTTTACAAAATTCATACGTCTTAGCTGAGCCCCATTTTGATAGTTTGCTTACTATGGATTAGAATATTGATAAAAATGAGACAACTGAAGGAAAAATCACAATCACATGTAGATGACAATTAAAATCCTGCGTTGTCAAATGATGTCAATGTTATGCGTCTAATTGTAAATGTGGTAATATGTGTAGATGTTTCAACTGCAAAAATGGTAAACGTAAAATTGAGGAAACTATCCCATTAAAAAGGCGTAAAAAAACATCAGCAAATATTACTCATAATTCTTCTGATTTTATGGTCAGCAACAAACAACCAATAAAAGAAGGAAGGTTTAGCAATATAGAATACTTAATTCTAGCAAGTGTGTGTTTATTTGTACTGGATATTAAAAAAGAGATTGATTTTGACGTTGTCTATGACATGTATAAAGATTGTATTGTAAAACTGAATTCCACCCTAAGAGGTGACTATTTTCCTATCAGGGTACAATCCTACATCAAAAGGTTTATCAGCTCTTTCAAAAAGAGGCAGAGTGTATACATTACAAAAAGCTGTAGAGTAGAAGCAACGATAATAAAATACTGATTCATATCAATATGATTTACCTGACAAATATAATACATTACAACATAAACTGATATCTAAATAATCGTGGTGTGTTTGTAGTATAGTATATAATGAAATGAAAGTTAACAAATTTTCACTGCATTGCAGTTTGGTATTGTAAATGTATTTCATTGTTTGTTTTAATCTACAAATTTTGTAATGTGAACTTATTTTTATTATCTGAAACATTTCATTATATCATTGTGTTTAACTAAATTAAATGTCTAACTGAATATGAAACTGAGATCCACATAAGCTTACACATGTCATGTGACCCTAAGGCATGTGGTCACAAAGTTCTAAGAACTGTGAAGACAAAATCAGGTAATTCCTATTTAGTACCATACAAAGTTTATTGTTACAAGAGCATCATTGAGAGTTATCTGAACTTGTCTAGCTCTCTGGCTTTTAAGAGCAGTGTTTCAGGATAACATAAGCTTACACATGCCATGTGACCCTAAGGTGTGCATCACCTACACCATCACTGAAGATTGATCACTCTCTAAAAATCTGGCCAAAGAAAGGCATGTGGTCACAAAGTTCTAAGAACTGTGAAGACAAAATCAGGTAATTCCTATTTAGTACCATACAAAGTGTATTGTTACAAGAGCATCATTGAGAGTTATCTGAACTTGTCAAGCTCTCTGGCTATTAAGAGCAGTGTGTCAGGAACAAGCTGGAATATGGGAAGACAATGAGATAGACCAGTGGGAAGGGTCGTTAAACTTGATGGTGTAGAAGAGACACCTGAGAATCGTGGAACCTCAGACCCGAATAAAAAGGACAGACCCAATCTACTGATTATGGCATATTTCTTCATGCAACTGAGACTTCAATCCATTTTCATAGTGTCAACACAGGCATTACTTGCACTCAACAACTTATTTATCAACTTTTTCAAAATCCAAAAGCAGACACCCTTGCATCACATATAGCTCGCTCTCCAGCAAAACAATAACATGAGCCATTGAGCCTAAACAGGAACGCCTTTTATATATACGTTGTAAGCCAAAAATGTATCTCCACATATAAATTTGAAAGTTCATGATTTTTAAGAATTATCTTAGAATTATATCCTTAGATGGAAACTTTGGTTTATGGCGCAAGAAATCATTCGGAAGAAGCCTCAAAAGACCACAGGTTTAAAATAAGTTTTTCACCAACCAAGACTCTACAGCTACAGCTTACCATCACCTACACCATCACTGAAGATGATCACTCTCTAAAAATCTGGCCAAAGAAAGGCATGTGGTCACAAAGTTCTAAGAACTGTGAAGACAAAATCAGGTAATTCCTATTTAGTACCATACAAAGTTTATTGTTACAAGAGCATCATTGAGAGTTATCTGAACTTGTCAAGCTCTCTGGCTATTAAGAGCAGTGTGTCAGGAACAAGCTGGAATATGGGAAGACAATGAGATAGACCAGTGGGAAGGGTCGTTAAACTTGATGGTGTAGAAGAGACACCTGAGAATCGTGGAACCTCAGACCCGAATAAAAAGGACAGACCCAATCTACTGATTATGGCATATTTCTTCATGCAACTGAGACTTCAATCCATTTTCATAGTGTCAACACAGGCATTACTTGCACTCAACAACTTATTTATCAACTTTTTCAAAATCCAAAAGCAGACACCCTTGCATCACATATAGCTCGCTCTCCAGCAAAACAATAACATGAGCCATTGAGCCTAAACAAGAACGCCTTTTATATATACGTTGTAAGCCAAAAATGTATCTCCACATATAAATTTGAAAGTTCATGATTTTTAAGAATTATCTTAGAATTATATCCTTAGATGGAAACTTTGGTTTATGGCGCAAGAAATCATTCGGAAGAAGCCTCAAAAGACCACAGGTTTAAAATAAGTTTTTCACCAACCAAGACTCTACAGCTACAGCTTACCATCACCTACACCATCACTGAAGATGATCACTCTCTAAAAATCTGGCCAAAGAAAGGCATGTGGTCACAAAGTTCTAAGAACTGTGAAGACAAAATCAGGTAATTCCTATTTAGTACCATACAAAGTTTATTGTTACAAGAGCATCATTGAGAGTTATCTGAACTTGTCAAGCTATCTGGCTTTTAAGAGCAGTGTTTCAGGAACAAGCTGGAATATGGGAAGACAATGAGATTGACCAGTGGGAAGGGTCGTTAAACTTGATGGTGTAGAAGAGACACCTGAGAATCGTGGAACCTCAAGACCCGAACAAGTTGCACTCTGACAGACCCAATCTACTGATTATGGCATATTTCTTCATGCAACTGAGACTTCAATCCATTTTCATAGTGTCAACACAAGCATTACTAACACCATCACTGAAGATGATTACTCTCTAAAATCTGGCCAAAGAAAGGCATGTGGTCACAAAGTTCTAAGAACTGTGAAGACAAAATCAGGTAATTCCTATTTAGTACCATACAAAGTTTGTTGTTACAAGAGCATCATTGAGAGTTATCTGAACTTGTCAAGCTATCTGGCTTTTAAGAGCAGTGTGTCAGGAACAAGTTGGGATATGGGAAGACAATGAGATTGACCAGTGGGAAGGGTCATTAAACTTGATGGTGTAGAAGAGACACCTGAGAATCGTGGAACCTCAGACCCGAACAAGTTGCACGCTGACAAGGATAAAGAGGACAGGCCGAATCTACTGATTATGGCATATGTCTTCATGCAATTGAGACTTCAATCCATTTTCATAGTGTCAACTTATAATGTGAACTTATTTTTATTATCTGAAACATTTCATTATATCATTGTGTTTAACTTAATTAAATGTCTAACTGAATATGAAACTGAGATCTACATAAGCTTACACATATAAATTTGAAAGTTATGATTTTAAAGAATTATCTTAGAATTATATCCTTAGATGGAAACTTTGGTTCATGCCACAAGAAATCATTCGGAAGAAGCCTCAAAAGACCGCAGGTTCAGAATAAGTTTTTCATCAACCAAGACTCTGTGGATAAATTTGTGTCAGCTTATCAGATTGGGCATAGAGATGAAAAGGTTAAGTTTTATGTCATAAAAATAGATGAAAGTCAATAATTTGAATGGGTTATCCAATATTTTATAATTTGTAGTCTTGTTTTTTTTTATTTGAAAACCCATTCCCTGACTTGGTTTGTCTCATTGCTATATTTAAGTAACAGCATTTTACTATATGCATTTTTCTTAATAGTCTTTAAGAAAGCTTGGCTTAGATCAATATGAAAAATGATGTACAGGTTAGAAGGGAAATAACTTCAAAAATACATACTACGTATCTGACCAATGCCATTGAGACCAACAAAAGAAAATTATTGACTGGTTTGAATCAGTAGACAGGAGAGGAATAGCTTAAAACTCAAGTATGCAGCCAAGTTCTCCAAGAAGCTATCCATATGACTATGAGTAAATTGCAAGCCACTCAGGGAAATAATGCTAGTATCTATTGTGGGCTATGACCTTTATTAGACTATATGTATATATATACTATCCTGAAAGAACCTATCACTGAAATAACCGAACACTTTGGCGTTGTTACAAGCCCACAGACACAGGAGGCACCCAAAGGTCAGAGTGCCTATGACCTGCAACAAGGACCATTGTGGTCAGAAGTTCCAGTATCTAAAAGGCCTGAAGGCCCACCTGATGAGAAAACACCCTAAAACAACACCTATGGCACAGAAGGTTCCAGCTCTAACGGAGGTGACTAAGTCAACTGCTATAGCAACCACAGAGGCAATTATGCCACTTGCCGCTAAGTCCCAGACTCTGACAGAGGTGACTATGCCAACTGCTTTAGCAACCACAGAGGCAATTATGCCGCTAAATCCCAGAAGGCCCCAACTCTGACAGAGGTGACTATGCCAACTGCTGTTGCGACCACAGAGGCAGTTATACCAATTTCAGTTGCCAATGATCCAGTGTTGTTCGAGCAACTTACCCCGAGTCCCTTTCAGTCTACAGCGAGACTGGACTTCAGGTTTGAAGAAGATGACTTGACAACCGTCAACCCACTGGAGATCCTCTCATTGGTGCAGGACGAGAGGCATGTTGTAATTGCCAACCACAGGCAAGATGGGGCCGGTACCATGCCCAGAGTTGCCATCATCTCACCCAGGGTTGCCATTGCGACAGACCAGAGAGGGGCCCTGGGAGAGCTAGACCCAGCCCTCCAAAGCTTAATGCGAGCTATCCAGGAAACCCCTGAAGAGATTGCAGGAGAGTTGATTGGCATCGAATATCTGTTTGAACAAACGAATACACCATTCCAGTTTATCAACCTCAATCCTGATGAGAAATCAGAGACGGACAACGTGGAGGATGTAGACTTAAGTGCTTATGGAGAGGATGAGGGGTTTGTAGAAGACCATGATCCCTCAGATCCACCCCTGATGAAGAAGCAGTCGAACTGGCCTCCCCAAAGAAAGACCCACCTGCAAATACCCCTTTCCCCAAACTAAGAAATAGATACAGAATTCTGACTTATAGTTGACAATTACTTTATTTAAAAATACACATGACACATTTTCAAGTAATTAAAATAATTGAATTTTCACAGTGCGTTTAATTTTACGGTCAAACCTCTTCAGCGAAAATACTGAAAATTAGGGCACCTTGAAAATTTGGGTTTTTACAGTAATTGAAAAAGCATTTGAATCTATGCATGTTTTTCTACACCTAAATTTTTTTGTATTCAAGATTTTTTCACGCTGTTTTTTCTAGGCTTTAGACTCCTCTGGTGTTCCTGGGTGGGAGAAGGTCCAACCACTTGTGGACTGTCTAGTCTCCCTTCGCCTCCTTAAACACCTGACAGAGGACAAGATACAGGAAATTGTGGAAGAGGTTGCCTGAGTCAGATAAGATGAAGGTTTCGTATCCCCCGACACAAGGAAAAGATATCGAAAGGCCCCTTCAAGAGGTCCCCCACAAACATTGACAGTTTATCACTTGGCAAGGAGAGTTTAAATAGGTATTGACATGGAGACTGCATGCATTAATAATAAATAATTCAAATCGGTATTCAAAATTTAACTTTTTCTTGTTTAAACCTTTTAATTTATTATAATTTTTAGGAATAATTGTTACCTTATACATAATCATGAGCATAAATTTCATGATTTAAT